GGCAATTTCGTCTGCGCGACAAACCGCAAAAGCGTGAACAGTCTTTATTGACTTGAATATGAATCTGTTTCACGCAATATCACACAACGCAATCCACACGATAAATTGCCTAGGTGTGAACCTAGCCTAAATGTCAATTGTACAATAACACAGTTATATATTTTTCATATCCTTGCATTGGTTAGTCATCATTATATAAAGACAAATTACACAGATTTCTATGAACATTGCAAAGCTTTAATTCTCTACTTTCTCATATACTGTAGCACAGCACCGGCCATGACTTTGTGTTACTGGGAGAGTTACGCAGGTGTGAAATCAGTAGCAGCAAATCCTGCCTGAAAGGTTTAATTCTGGTATTGAACAGAGGTGAAATTGTAAGTATGAGTGTCAAATATCAACTTGCTTTCCAGCTGTCAACAAGGCAAGATGCAGCATCAATTCAAATTCACTAAAAGTAGGTCACTGTGCTACTGATCTTACTGATGATCATGAGAGGGTAGAGCTGTAGAAAACAATGTTTAATACCATAAGGCCAGTGGGGTTGAAAAAGCCTGAGGAAGATATGGCCTTAGGATTAGACATGTAAGATTTATTTAATTCTGAATTGAAATTCGGACGAATATCGGCATATTCAGAAGTTTGGATGCATTTGAATTTCCAAATGGAACAAATAAAGAGTTCAAACAAATACGAATTTTGCACTACTGAATATTCGGGTACATCCAAATTTTACCAAATTAACTGAAAGGTGTTAGACAATCCAAAGAAAAAAAAAGTGTGGTGTGTGGTCCCCTTCAGAATTCATACCAGACCCTTTAGGTCTGGTAGGAATTTTAGGAGGGACCCCAAGCCAAAAAAACAAACAAAAAAAAGCATGGGTCCCCCCCAAATCCTTTAGCAGACCCTTGATCCGAGCAGCAGCTTGGAAGAGCAGGAAAGGGGAGATATTTTTGTGGCCCCTCTGCACCATACCAGGCCACATGCCCTCAACATAGAGAGGGTGCTTCGCCAGGGAGGGAATTTAGTGGATGTATTAATAATCCACTAAGCCATGCTACTTTCCGGATCAAAAAGTTTGACTAATATCTATTTTTGGACGATTGGGTAAGAACACAGGTTCAGAGAAGGTAAATTTATAATTTACAATTGTCACTTATACAGGGGGGTAAGTGTAAATCTTCCAATGGTGACACCTTTTTCTATGACAGCTGCCTAAGAGGGAATTTCCCCTTATTTTGGAGATATTGCCTCTCACTTCCTGTTCCCCTTCCAAAAAGTGAATGGAAATCTTTCCAATGACACAGACATACAGAGTTTGTCCATGTCATAGCATTGTGGAGCTCTCATGAGTACACTATCTCTAAAAACTGTTTTTTTTTCTAAAGACACTTTGCACAAAGCACCCATCTAATCTCAGAAAAATGTTTTGTTGTTTGAATGTCAAATTATGTTTATCTTATATTCAGGTAGTGTCTGTTAAAGAAAATTGTGTAGCCTTTCTTAACTGGATGACCCTTCAACTGCCTGTTTCAGTTGGTGAGTATGGATATGTTTGCAAATAATAAATGATCAGACTGGGAAATTAAGAACAGAAAGGTTTAAATTAGGGGGAGACTAAGTGTGGAAACAACAGATTGCCTTTACAAAGCATCTGGCTAATACAGGAAATGGTAATTGGTATTAAGTGTATTATTTATTTTTGTGCTTGGAGTTGTGAAAATAGAGATATGATTAAGCGGAAGAGGGCCCTCTAAGTGGATATTTCAGTTGCGGATTTCTAAATATTATGTTGGTCAGTGAGCTATTATTGTGTAAAATGTTTTGCAAGTTAGGAGCAGATTTGAGGGTTAGTTGCAAAAACTGTCAACAGTAAATGAAGATGGAAATCCTAGGAATTGTTTTATGTAATGTTCCAGCATAAGGGTAAATACACATTTTCCATCAATAAATCCATTCTTAAAAATATCATTATTAAATAGAATTGCTCAAGTCAAGAATGGATCTCATATATGATAAGGAGATATTTGCAGGGTAGATGCCTGTGATATCAAACCATAGAATATATGGTTTAAAAAGTTATTTTGGGGAGACAATTACAACTATTGTATATAAAAAAGGGAAGCTGGACACTCAATGTTTCTCCAGTAAAACCTAGTAACACGGCCTAAACAGTAATTAGTACTACTTTAGCACCAAAGACTATAAAAACAGCAGTAATGTAGTAAATCTGCTGCATGTCTACCACTCTATAATATTATAGAACAACATTAGATTAAAATGCTGTATGTCTACTTTGCTGTTCAGTTGCAAGAGCTAAGGCAGAGCAGTGTACAAAGATGCCATGCCAACATGCTCTGCACTTGTAAACCACATACAGTTCAGTCACCAGGCAAAGATAATCTTAGAGAATGAAGGAGCTTAGCAATACCTACCTACAAGGATAATGTATAAAGCATGCATCCCTAAACAGTGTTTGCTTTTTGCAGGAATAACAACAGCTACTAAATGTTTGGCAGGAACAGTGACTGATTTACTGCCAACATATCATAATTATTTCCAACTTTTGAAAATGTAAAATCTCCTAATTGACTTGCTGGCCTGTTGAGGTATATAAGTGCAGTACAGAAAAAGTTGAGCAGTAAGCAAAATACTTTCTTGTATTAAGAGGGGTATAGACTCCAGAGATAGAGACATCATCCTGCCCCTGTACAAAGCATTAGTAAGACCTCATCTGAAATATGCAGTTCAGTTTTGGGCACCAGTTCACAAAAAGGATGTTGTGGAACTGGGGAAAGTGCAGCGAAGGGCAACCAAACTCATAAGAGGCATGGAGGAGCTCAGCTATGAGGAAAGATTAGCTGACCTGAATTTGTTCTCTCTGGAGAAGAGACGATTAAGGGGGGACATGAGCACTATGTATAAATACATAAATGGTCCCTATAGTGAGCTTGGTGCCAAATTATTCACTTTAAGGTCACTGCAAAGGACAAGGGGGCACTCTTTGTGTCTGGAGAAAAAGTGGTTTAACCTTTGCATACGGAAAGGATTCTTCACAGTTAGAGCTGTGAAAATGTGGAATAGACTCCCTCAGGGGCTATTTCTAGCTAGCTCAGTTAATTGTTTAAAAAACATCTGGATGCACAGAATATTACTGGATATTGAGTTATTATAGGTATATTCGATTGCCTTAAGGGGATCAGGAAGGAATTGTTTACCCCTGTTGGAGCAAATTAAACCATGCCTTATAGGGTTTTTTTGCCTTCCTCTGGATCAACATTGGGTAATGTGGGCATAGCATTCTGTTTAGGCTTTTCTCCGTATCTCTATAGGTTGAACTCTCTATAGGTCTATAGGTTGAACTCGATGGACTTGTGTCTTTTTTTCAAACCTTACTAACTATGTAACTATGTAAGAGGAGAGGAAGGAAAGGGAAGTAGCTATACTGGAAAGAATGATATGGAATTTATGTTAAGGTGCCACTAAGCACAGAAAATGCATTCAAGTATCAGCTGCTGTATTAACAAAAATGTATCATATTTGTGTATCATTTGGCTGATCCTCAAATCATCTTTGAATTCATCCTGCACTGTCCTTCCTTCTGGAGGGTGGCTACTTGTGTTCCCCATCGTTCCTGTGTGTGTTGCAAAGCAGTCACTGCTCTAAGCTCACTCCCGTGATGGACTACAATCTCAATACAAACTAATAAACTAAACGTGAGATTGTAATCCATCATGGGAGCGAGTTTAGAGTGATGGCTACTTTACAATCCATGGGGAACACAAGTAGCCACCCTACAGAAGGAAGGACAGTGTCAGCACCAATTCAGAGATGATTTGAGGATCTACAGCCGAGTAATACACAAACAAGATACATTTCTGTTAATAGTTAAGTAGTAGAATGCCGTTAACGGTACACTCTCGTCAGCGTTCACCATATCTAGTGGCACCAGACAGGGCTGCCCACTCTCACCCCTCATTTTTAGCCTGACCCTTGAACCCCTGCTCCGCACCATTAGAGCACATCCTGATATCCATGGCATTGAGGTGGGGGGACAGGCCCATAAAATAGCAGCATATGCGGATGACCTCCTGTTCTTCATTTCGACACCGGACACGTCCATACCTAATCTACTCCAGGCCCTTCAGCGATACGGCGAGCTATCGAACTACCATATAAACACCCAGAAGTCGGAGGCTCTAAATTTGACTATTCCCCCTCAATTACTAGCGCGCCTACAACAGAACTTTCCTTATCAGTGGTCCTCTACAGCACTCCAATATCTAGGGATAAAGCCTCCACGGAACCTGTCGGACACTTACAGCCTCAATTTCCCCCCACTACTACAAAAGGTCAAAAAAGACATTCAAGGATGGGCACGCTCGACATTTTCCTGGACAGGCCGCTGTAATGTCATCAAACAAAATGTCCTTCCGCGGTTCCTATATCCTTTCCAAGCCCTCCCGATCATGGTTCCACGCTCCTTTTTCCGCTCCCTGCAAGCAATGGTGACCAACTTTATATGGGCCGGCAAGGCCCCACGAATCAAACTGGCGACTCTGAGACGCCCCAAAGCCAAGGGGGGGCTAGCCCTTCCCGACTTCCATTTTTATTACATAGCCTCACACTTGGCCAGGGTAATTGATTGGTGCTGTCACAGCGCCACCAAGCCCTGGATACAGGTGGAACAATCTGTGACCAAGATCTCCCTACCTGGTCTACCGTGGTACGAGGGACGCCTACCCCGAATAATTAGAACACACCCGACTATAGGTCCCACTTGGAGGGCAGCCCGATGGGCCTTCATACGCAAACAAATATCCCCTGATCCATCCCCTATGCGGCCGATCTTGGGGGCTCCGGATTTTCCCCCTGGTCTGGAGGCCGGCCCGTTTCGCCGCCTTCTGGCAGGGGGAAAATTTCGAGCACTTCCTCCAGGGTCCTGACTGGCAAATACGTAGAAACTCCCCTGAGGACCCAGATTCTGAAAATCTCGACACATGGCGCCTGCACCAACTGTCACACTTTCTCTCCTCGCTTCCTCTACCTACCCCTACACGAAAAAGCCTACACTATTTGAGCAAATCTGCTCTGACAAGGAACCCATAACTAAAACACTCTCTCTATGCTACCAACTAGTGTTGGCTGCAGACCTGGAGACCCCGCTCCGATTCCTTGAGCGCTGGGAGGGGGAGCTGGGGATACAGTTCTCACAGGAGGAAGGTGCCCAGCTGTTGCGCCACTCCCTGAAGTCATCCATCTGCAATAGATACCAGGAACTGGGATACAAAATCCTAACGAGATGGTACCGGACCCCTCATAGACTTCACCAGATGTCACGGGCAAATCCGGACATTTGCTGGCGCTGCGGCTCTTCCCCTGCGGATATGCTTCACATCTTCTGGTCCTGCCCATCTCTGACACCTTTCTGGACACAGGTCCGCCTCATTGCGCAAAAATTTACAGATCACACCGTCCCGGATGACCCGGCGTTCTTCCTTCTCCACCATAACCACTTCCCAGTGAAAAGCTACTCCCGCTCGGTTCTGGTGCATTTACTGAATGCAGCCAGAGCATGTATACCTCTTCTATGGAGACAGGTTACCCCGCCCTCGGTCCAAATGTGGTTCTCCAAAATAAACGATATTCGTTCCATGGAAGATCTCACCAGTTCCACCAGGGCACCTCCTGCAAGTTCACAGCTACGTGGTATTACTGGATAGAATACACCACCACTACGGAATACCGCATGATAATGGAGACTTGAAATCTGACACATAGGCACCCGGTGAAGATGCCCGACCCCATCATCCCCCCCTCCCCCCCTTTTTCCTCTCTATCTTTCTGTTTACGTGTCTTGTTTCACCCCCTCCCCCAATGTATGTATGTCCCCCTCCCTCTCAGGCTTCCACGGTATCCAACTGTTATTCCACCGGTGGATGCTCTGCTACACATTCACGTGCATAGTGATCTCGACTCCACCTGTTCTATATCTATAAGTCTAAATGAAGGGTTACCCAGATGGTCAAGTTTAGATGATTGTAATGTGTTATTGGTGTTCTCACTAGAATTATTCCAGTTGTATCTGTATGTATACGTACCATGTACATGCTACCTTTGCGACAATAAAGAATTTATAAAAAAAAAAGTAGTCAAATGCATTTTTAAGGTTTAACTCTTGGTTTTAGTGTTACATTAAAGGAGAACTATGGGGTTAGGGCTTTTCCCCATAGTTCTCCTAAGGGTAATGGGAGGACGTTAGTTTGTGTCCAAAGCTCAGTATACCGCAAGCTACAGCTCATGGTATACTGAGACGCCGCAGCCTGAACGGACCCAGACAATTATGTCTGGATCCACCCAGCTGTGTGACTGGCAGCTGGCTCTGCCTATCTAGAGACAGAGCCGGCTGTACCCGTCCCCACCCCCATCGGTTCCGCCAGACAGCGTTGGAGGATTGGACAGGGGAGGGGGGAATCCAGTCCCTCCCCTGTCACGGCTCCCTGCCGGCACAGGATCGAGAAGTGAGCGAGCGCCGGTATGTGTTCGCTCACTTCCATATCTACTGAGCTGACCTGTGACAGTCTCATTGTCACAGGTCGGCTCAGATTATGAGACTGAGTGAAAATCACTCACCTCATAATTCTCCTTTAAGTTATGTTTGTAAATGTAAGCTTCAGCTATTTTATTCTGGAAACAATAGACTTTTTCAACGGATCAGATAAGAATAGACAGGTAAACACTAGTTGGATATACAGATATTTAGATTTTTATGCTAAATTTGATTTTTACTTCACTAAAAAAAGGAAATGTTTATTCAAAATTAACTTATATAAAACAGTTCACCCTTCTTAGGATCTGGTGATATTAATGTTAACATGGTATCAAATGAACTACAATCTCACATTTAGTTAGCTAATTTGTATTGAGATTATAGTCTATCAAGGAAGCAAACTTGGAGTGGTGGGTACTGTGCTTTTACCTGCAATTTTTAAGGGTGGTGACAGGGATTCTTATAGCGGCACATTCATTGTCATTTGGGCCAGCAACAAAATATTTAACCACATCCTTAGAACTTTGCAGAAGAGAGTCAGTGCTTTAATCCTGATTAACAGTATGTTGTCTTTCACAGCCAATATGACAATATCTCAGCCTACATCATTCTATATGAACATACATACGATGTTTGGGCTGTCTGTGATGATTCAGTGTATACCTGTAATGCAGGTTTATATTGATGTGGATTCTTCCTATGAACATCAGACGGGTGGTAAGATTTTCTTTCTCTTTAAAGTGGCTGGGTACTGGTAAATTGTCTTAATAAATGCAATGGTGAGGTTTCCATACATTAGTCTTCACCCCCCCACAAAACCATAAAGGCATTATTTTCTTCAAACTGGACTCCTAAATGATATATTTTTATGTTATATAGAATGTAACAGGGAATACAAGCTACCATGTTTTCCACCAGCCAGCAACTACCCAGAACTTAAATACTAAAATCGTTGGAAATTACCTTTAGATGGCAATAGAAATTAGATGACCTTTACAGCCTTTACTTTGCAAGACTGAACCTTTGCCAACACCTGCAGAATCATGAACAGTAAACTTACACCTAAAAGAATCACGAAGGAAAACTAAATAAAAAATTATAAACAGCCTGAACATGGACTCTCCTGTTCAAATCACCAGAGAATACCCATTCACTGTCAATAGATACGTTTACAGGGTTATTGACAAAGCTGTCGAATGCATCTGAGTGAATAACTGAGCCGAAGTGAGACAAACTACGTTTAGCTATTCACTCCGGCTCTGTACGGCTGATTTCAGCCGTACATCGGCTGCCTTCGGTCAGCCGATCATGTTCTGCATGTTCGGCTGAGCCGAAGGGCAGAGATACTTCGACTCAGCCAATCCAACATCTGGATCTGCTGAGCCGCAGCTCCGGCAGCTCACTCGCTGCCATTCGCCCCTTTTCTCATAGGGGCCAAACAGCAGTGAGTGAATAGCCGAATGGCCGCCGAGCAGCATTCGGCTCGGCTACTGTGCTCGGTACCTCTGTGGTACCAAGCAGAATAGAAAATAAGTGAGAAGAATGAAAAAAAAAAGAGTTGAAAAATTATTTTTAAAATGTGAATAAATAGAGAAATGAAAAATAAATAATTATATTTGAAAGAAGAAATTTTTTTAAAAAAAAGGAAAACAATTGGGCCGAGCTAGGGGTGACAGCTAGCTCCGCCCAACTGTTTCCTATTGGCCAGCACCTGCCAGAGTCTTCTGGCAGGTCCCAGCCAATGAATAACAACTGGGCGGAGCTGGCCGTGACATCACAGCCACCTCCACACAGTTGTTATTGTTTAATGACAGTTCAGCGTCCCCAAGTCATTTGGGGATGCTGATCTGTCATTACAAAAGGGCAGAGCAAGCCGTGAGATCATGGCTGGCCCCGCACAGCTGTCATTTGTGTGGAGAAAGGTCAGCTTCGGCTGACCTTTCTCCATGCTTCAGCTGTCAATTCGGCACGGCTGAGTCACTCAGCTGCCTTCGGCTGCTGTATGGGCTATTGTGAATGGCCCGTACAGAAGTCCTTCGGTTCGACTTAACCGAAGGGCAGAGGCAGCCAAAGCGAGCCGAAGGATCAGCCAAAGTTACAGCTGGATCATTTGGCTCTTTAGAGAATAACCCCCTTAGTATCAGTTATTGCATGTGTTTTTTTGTATTTTCCCAGGCTTGTAGCCATAAATATTTAAGGTGCTAAATGATCCATATGAATCAGTCATACAGGATTTTTTTACACCTCCCTCATATACAGTAAGACCCTTTCCTGATACATTGGTAGGTATTTCATAGCACCAAAATGAGTCTAATATCATTATATGTTAAAGGTCTGTGTGGAAACTTCAACAATATCCAAGCTGATGATTTTAAAGCTCTGAGCGGAGTCATTGAAGGAACTGCAGCAGCCTTTGTTAATACCTGGAAGACTTTAGCCAACTGTCCAAATATTAGGAACAGCTATTTGGACCCATGTTCACTCAATGTGGAAAAGGGTATGTCTTTTATGTAAGGTAAACTAAACGTTATAACAATGTAAACATGTTGTATATTGCTATTTTCTCTCGAGTGCTATTAACTGAATTTGTTGTGTTCTGCAGAAAAATATGCAATGCATTGGTGTGGTTTGCTTACGTCTGCAACTGGACCTTTCTCCTCGTGTCACAGCTTGGAAAGCCCTCTTATTTATCATGCGGTAATTTCCCTATATATATATATATATATA